ATTCAACTGGGTTACAAAGGTTTCATGTATTCACCAAAATCTGTTGAAAAAATATTGATAGGTACTTCTCCACAGGATTCCTGCACTTTGAAGGTGTTGTTAGCCAAGACACACTTATGTAGCCAAGTGGGGTTTTTTTAAGGGTCCCCAGTCATTTAAATGTCTGTGTACCATGTGCTTATTTACCATGACATCTGCTAATCCATAGTTCCTGGATTGTGTTGTTTCTTATATAGATGTCTCTTGGGAATCTATTTGCTTCCAAATACAGGGGTCTAATAAAGCTAGCAGCATATGGCCAGATCCATTAGCCGTGACCCTACAGGCCAATATAGGATGACGGATGTATCTAGGGACGAAAGAATTTCTCACAGCTCAGGGAGGAAGGTTACCGAAACATCTGTGCCATACTATAACTGCATGAGATAATCGGTTTTGCAATGGCATGTCCAGATTGATGCTGCATTATCACCCCCAACTGCTCTTTATCTGATGTTTCAATTTGAAAGACCCAAGGGTATATGGTCCACCAGGAATTTTCTTTCAACATTTATATCTGAGCTGCAATGATTTATTAAAATGTACCTGTAACCTTTTAACATACAAGCTGATAAGGAGAAGCAGGCAGGATCCAAACAAAGCAAACCTGTCATGAAAGGCATACGTGTCCTGTTGCTGACCTAAAAATGATAGCTGCTTAGATGTTTCTAATTTCTGCAAACCAAGAACCTGCATCCCAGCCAGTGATTTTGTACTGAATCGGTAGTATGCACTGCAGTGTAATTTATTTTTATCTTTTTTGTTTGTATTTAAATGCTGCCTAGGTGAAAGATTGAAAAAAGATCTTGTATAACTGTTCATCTCTAGCATGCTCTACTTTCTGCCAAGTTATTACAGTCTCTTGTACCTAAAGTTAACTATGCAAAAACAGTCCAAGGTGCATGAACAATATTTCCATCAGAGAATATCTTCTAGGATATTTTCTCCCCAAACCAGGAGCATTCTTTTTTTTTTTTTTTTTTTTTTTTACAAATTTTTTTTTTATTAAGGAATGAATTGCAAAAACAGCATAAAAACAAAGTGTAGTATATAACAAGAAAAGGACATATAAGTAATAATCATCTTAATAAAGTACCATCATATAAGAAATAAAAATCAAGTACATTAAATAAAGTAGGCAAGAAGATATGCAGAGTGATAAAAGCAACCAAAAGAGGAATCATATCAAACAAATGATGATCCATCAGTCAAACAATAGATGTCGATGAGACCTCCAACCCTCCCATTTTCTATCAAATAAATGTATCCTATCCAGCAACATATAATGAACACATTCCATAAGCATCACTACATCCACTCTCTGTAGAACAGAGGTCAAAGGCACCACCGGTGAATTCCAATGAAGGGCTATAGCCCATAGGGTTGAGACACAAATGGTGTGAATTACCCTCATAGCATAAGTCTGTATCTCCAAGATAGGGGCACCCAGTAAACAAATCTGCAGAGATAAATTCACCGGAGTATCCGCCACTGCAGAGGCCACTTCAAAGACTTTACACCAGAACAGTGAAAGACCGGGACAGGCCCAAAACACATGCACAAAGGTGCCAGCAAGGCCACAACCCCGAAAGCAGAGGTGAGACGTCCCCGGAAACATGATATGTAGTCTAGAAGGAGTATAATACCAACGGGTTAAAACATTAAGGGCTGTCTCACGGACTGAAAGAGATCTAGTGCTTTTATGTATGTTATAGCATACCCCCTATGAGTATGTGCTAGAGCACGAAACGCATCAGCGGGAGCTACAACGCTGTGACATCAGTGCCGAGGCACTGTGTTGGTCTGCCGGCCATCTTATCAACACACATGGTCAGTAGGTTTTGTTTTGTTTGCTTTCTATTGTACCTGTGACTGGATTATTAAAAACCTTTGAAGCAGTATCATGCTATGTGGCATCCTCTTCTTGGGCTCTTGATGAGTCTAACCACCCACAGAGTCTCATGATAAGGAGAGGGAAGTTGCTTCCATTAACGATCTATCCAGGGAGGCATCCATACCAGGTTATAGGGGCCCCATAAGATGCTCCAGCTGACCTTCTGAGATAGTGTTCTCAAATGCGATAGTGTTCACGAAGTGGGATATCAAAAGCGTTTGTAACATTTCAAAAGAGATATAAGACCCACCCCTCTGAAAATCATATAATCTGATAGGGGCTCGATCATACCACCAGCGAAACGCCTATGGAGAGAAAAACGCTGTGACAAAATTTGGGTCACCGAAAAAATGACGAACCTGGTGAAACAGAAGAGACAAGACCCAATTTAAGTTTATAGCGGGACCAAAAGTATCAGTGAGTGGGTGACAATCAAATTGTGGGTCAACAACGAGCTAGGGGGGATTTTCGTCCATAATAAACCCGGTAAATAGAACGGACGAATAGATTGAGACTGAAATCTAACCCAAGGGGTCTGGGAGTTAATAGTTGCCCATTGTTCCAATTGTGAGAAGAGGGCAGATAAATAATGAAAGCCAAAAATTGGGGAGGGCGAGGCCTCCCGTGCATTACGATTTATACAGAATGGACGAGGTAAAACGTAGACGCTTATTACGCCAGATAAAATTATTAATCACCCCTTGAAAGTGATCCAGGAATGATTTAGAAACCAAATTGGGAGTGCTCAAAATAAAGTAATTTAGGTAAAAACGTTCATTTTCACCGCTGTGACACTACCCAAAAATGATAGGGTATCCATGCCAGATCTTTAGCAAAGTAGAAAGGCGAGATACACATGGTGGATAATTAGCTGCAAATAGTCCAGAATACCTGGGCGTACGATAGACCCCAAAATAACCAGGAGCATTCTTAAACACACATGCACTTCTATTTAGGGTAATGGTCTCCAAACTGTGGCCCTTTGGGCACACTTCCACCCACTGAAACAAACGGGGCACTATTCCTCCCACTGCCACCAACGGGGCACTATTCCTCCCCCACTGACGCCAACGACAGAGTACTATTTCTCCCTCCCACTGACAAACGATGGGGCACTATTCCTCCCATAAAAACTAACAATGGGACATTTTCTGATCCCAGTGGCAACAGATCAGGAAACTCTCCTTCCAGTATCTATGGCCAACTTAAGTCTCTTGGTGATGGAGACTCTGGAAAAAGGCATGAAAGGGTGAGAAGGGAGTTAATAGATGGGAAGAAATGACCGGTACTTCTTCTCTGATGTTCCCCACACTTGAAAGATGGATTCACATTATTGTACTTACACTGGTGACTTTGCGATATATTTGAGCAGCATTCTGGCATTCAGAGTATGGGTATTCTGAGGTAGCCATTTCCAACATGCACATTCCAAAAGCATACACATCCACAGATTCATCATAATGTTCTTCATACATTTCAGGTGCCATAAACTCTGGGGTTCCTGTTGGTAAACAAAGATCTCAAAATATCGTTTATATACATATACAAAAGGCTCCTTTAGCACAAATGACTGAACACGGTCATAATACAATTTATAAATCCAAAATTATTCTATTCAAGAGCACAAAACAATGAAGTTCTTTAAGAAAAATGTAATCACTATAAAAGGTGGTCAGTAAATCTGACCACATCTACATGTGCGCCCCCTACCAACCCGTGCCGTGATTGGACACAGCACAAGTTTGACAGCTGATTTCAGCCAATTATTTTGGCTGAGATAAGCTGATCAGCTGTGTCCAATCACACACAAAATTCTGTGTTTACAAAACACAGAACTCTGTACAGGGAACAGCGAACTGGTGTTTTTTTTTTTTCTTTCTGCCTGTAAAACAGGAAGAAAAAGCAGCCACACAGTAAAGTAAAAGCAGCACACCATTACACATTTTTAGGCACATTGCCCCTATTTATTAACACCCTCCCAGCCAGTGTCATTAGTACAGTGACACTTTACAGTATTAGCATTGATCTTAGATTGCCTTCCACGCTATCACAGTACCACTAGCCATCGCTGATCACCGCCATTACCAATATATATACACCATAGTTTGTAGACACTATAAAACTTTCACGCAATCCAATTAATATCCAAACCAATTAAAATACATGTTGGGATTTTTTTTTTTTACCAAACATGTAGCAGAATACATTTTGGCCTATATTTATGAAGAAATTTGATTTTTTGATTGGATATGGTTTAGAACAGTAACGTTATAACAATAAAAGTAGAATGCAAAATCTTCAGGTTTTGTTTTTGTTTATATAAAAAAGATAGCCCAGTGGTGATCAAATACCACCAAAAGACAGCTCTACTTGTGTGAAAAAATGATATAAATTTCATTTGGGTACAGTGCTGCATGACTATGCGATTGCCAGTTAAAATAGCGCACTGGTAAATAGCAAAAAATGCTCTGGCCATGAAGGGGGTAAAAACCTTCCAGAGGTCAAGAGATTAAACTGGGACTGTCTTTTCTAATTACAAACCACAAAAGTAATTCTGCTGAAGCTTGTAAATCACTTCCAGCAAGTATGAACCGCATATAGTACAAGGGAGGAGGCCAAACTGTAAGTGCAAAAGCTAGTTTGTGCCTAAAGAGCACAAAATTCAGATACTAATTTATTTCTGTTACAATCTAACCTGGTGTGTCATCAGGGGGCTAGCTGCAAGACTCAGCCTGATGAGGCACCACAGTGCATGTGAAGCCACGAGGCTTAATGGGCTGCGTGATATGACTATCTCAAAGGGCTGGGCGGGTATGTCATTCTCACTTAGGCGATAAACACAGAAGTAAGGGGCCCTGTCGGTGTGTAAAAAAAAAAAAAAAAAAAAAAAAAAAAAAAGCATTTCCGTTTTTCGTGATTGTGTGGAAGGAGGGGGAAAGGTTTAATAGAGAGTTAAAAGATTTCTTTAAAATGGCTCTTCCTCTACTTCCCACCTACCTCCTACATTTAATTTAACTCACAGCTGTATATAACAAATACAGTTTACCCAATCAAAACATTTGTTACCTATAACACTTTTAGCAAAAGAGGCTCGTTTCAAGGTAGCAAGGCCCAGATCTCCAATCTTCACAGAGCCAGTTGGCCCTGTAATAAAAATGTTATCACATTTTAAGTCCCGATGAATTATTGGAGGAGTTCGCGTATGAAGAAAGTGCAGGCCTTTGAGAATCTGCCGACACCAGCTGCGCAAAACCTTTGGCTTCATGACCTTAAATCTTTTCAAGTATCTGGAATGAAAAAATGCATTGACAAAGAAATCAAAATGGGAAAAAGTAAAAGATAGAAAACCCGAATACAGAATGATCCTAAGTCAGATAAATTGCTGCTAATGGGATTTTTTATTTAAACAATCATTTTTCCCCCAAAGTGATCAAACAAACATGTTAAAAAAAAGAGTAACAGTCAAATTTCCTTAAAACAGAAGGTAGTCATATGTTTTTGTCCATCACATAGCCCAAAGATAAAAGTTTCATTCCACATTTAAAGGACAATGGGCAGCACCATGAAAAATTCAATTCTTATGAGCAGGCATGCACACTGTACAAATCAATCACTGTGTGACCAGTCAAGGCCAGAGACCTGTACAAATCAATGACAGGCTGATAGAAGCCACTGCTCTTTGGCCAGTTTGTATGTGCATATAGCTCAGCCTATCCAGCCCCAGTGGCCTGTCTAAGTGAGCCCTTAGCTGGATACAAAAGTTGTTTAGAAGTTGTGATCTATACCATAGGGGAATGTAAACTCACCAGCCACTTCATTAGGCACACCTGTTCAATTGCTTGGTAAAGCAAATTCCTAATCAGACAATCACATGGCAGAAACTCAATGCATTTAGGCAAGTAGACATGGTGGAGACGCCTTGCTGAAGTTCAAAATGAGCATGAGAATGAGGAAGAAAGGGGATTTAAGTGACTTTTAACATGGAATGGGTGTTGGTTCCAGATGGGCTGGTCTGTGCATTTCAAAAACTACTGACCTACTGGGATTTTCCCGCACAACCATCTCTAGAGTTTACAGAGAATGGTCTGAAAAAGAGATATCCAGAGAGAGGCAGTTGTGTGGACAAAAATGCCTGGTTGATGTCAGTGGAGAATGGGGAGACTGGTTGCTTCGACATTCAGATGGTAGGGTCAGAATTTGGCGTAAATAACAGAAGACCATGGATCCACCCTGCCTTGTATCATGGGTTGGCTGGTGGTGGTGGTTTAACCACCTCCCACCCGCCATATAGTAATATGACGGGCGCAAGGTGGCTCTATGACGTCCTCCCATTCTCACTGTGCATGCGCGGCTCAGGGAGCGCGCAGTGCGGCGATCGGCGGTGCGCTGCGTCCCTCGGACACAGCAGATCACCGATCACGGAAAGAGCCGAAGATGTCATCTCGGTCGTGTGATCAGCTGTGTCCAATCACAGCTGAATACGTGTAAACAGGGAAATGCCGGTTATCGGCATTTCTCTCCTCTCGAGCACTCACGCTGACAGCTCGAGAGGAGAACAGAGCCGGTATTCAACTTTCCGCGGAGGGAACATGTACACTGATCATCAGGGCAGTGATAATCAGTGTAGCCCCAGCAGTGCCACCTGTCAGTGCTCATCAGTGCCTTATGTCAGTGCTCACAGTGCCTTATGTCAGTGCTCACCAGTGCCTTATGTCAGTGCTCACCAGTGCCTTATGTCAGTGCTCATCAGTGCCTTATGTCAGTGCTCATCAGTGCCTTATGTCAGTGCTCATCAGTGCCTCATGTCAGTGCTCATCAGTGCCTCATGTCAGTGCTCATCAGTGCCTCGTGCCAGTGCCACATATCAGTGCCTACTAGTGCACATCAATGCCACATATCAGTGCCCATCTGAGCTGTCTCAGTGTCACCCATCAGTGCCAGTCAGTGCCACCTATCAATGCCAATCAGTGCCACCTAGCAGTGCCGCCAATCAGTGCCGCCAATCAGTGCCAGTCAGTGCTGCCTATCAGTGTGCATCCGTGCCGCCTATCAGTGCCATATATCAGTTCCATGTATCAGTGATGCCTTTCAGTGCCCATCAGTGATGCCTATCAGTGCCACCTACCAGTGCCTCCTCATCAGTGCCACCTATCAGTGTCCATCAGTGCAGCCTATCAGTGCCCCTCAGTGCAGCCTCATTAGTGCACATCAGTGAAGGAGAAAAATCACTTATTTATAAAATGTTATAACAAAAACTAAGAAAAAACATTTTTTTTCAAAATTTTCAGTGGTTTTTGGTTTGTTTAAGAAAAAATAAAAAACCCTGAGGTGATTAAATACCACCAAAATAAAGCTCTATCTGTCACAAAAAAATGATAAACATTTCATATAGGTACAGTATTGCATGACCGCGCAATTGTCGTTCAAAGTGCGACAGTGCTGAAAGCTGGAAATTGGCCTGGGCAGGAAGGGGGTATAAGTGCCCTGTAGGCTAGTGGTTAATGGTGTGGGGGATATTTTCTTAGCAAGGTACCTAATAAAACTAGAGTGTCCAAAGTTTTTGCACATCGCAATTACTACTATAACTTTCTTTGTACTCATGTTTTCAAGTATAAATTCAGGAATTATTTTTTCCATACTTTAATTTATCAGGCTTTGATTGATTTAACTATCTATATCTGATAACCAGAGGGCCACTGGAAATCACTGAAGTAGTCCGCACTACATAGAGAGATAGCTGTGAATTTCTGGGTTCTGCTCCAGTGGTTTCTCTGCACACAGGAGTCACTCGCTCAGTTCTGGTGCCATGTCTTGCATTCTTTCAATAAACACAAGGTGTTCTCTGTTTGGACAAGGTGAAGCAGCTGAAGTCATGATCAGCACCTCTTCCAATCACAGCATGCCTTGTAATCTTCGAAATAAAAAATAAAGTGTTCTCTAAATGAAGGCAGTGCTGAGTGAGCAACTGCCGGTGTTCAGTGTGCAAAGAAGAAGCCGCTGGAGTGGCACCTGGAAAATTGCAACTATCACTAAATGTAGTGTGGACTATTCCTGTACCTTTCAGCAAGTGGCCCTACGAATCAGATATGGTTACTCACATCAAGCCAGGCTGGACCAATATAATTCCTGGAGTTTCGATGTTAAACATTTGCAATAAAATTGTGCATTATATTTGCAAACATTGTGACTGTAATGGACTGTACTTGACTTCATAGGATCATTGACATTCACATAAGAGGCATTTTAAGATTATTGGCTCCTTAACAACTCGCTCTGCATCTGGACCAGCCTTTTTCAACCAGGGTGCCCAGGCACAAAGCCACAGGTTTTTATTGTGCAGCATTACAACTTTCTAGTCCACCAACAACATAAAAAAACAATGATATCAGTTGATAAGAGACATCGGACACCTGCACAGCATCCTTGTTTGCCTTTCCCCTGCCCCTCTGTCAGGACTGGGATCACATTAGTACAAAGGTGTATTTGCTTTGGAAGAATAAATCACCTCTGACGTTGGGTGTCCTATATGTGCAGATGTTGCCGTTTTCTGTAAAACTATTAGTTTAGTTTTTTAAATTTTGTAATAGAGGTCTTAAGATTGTGCTGGATTTTAAAGGGTGAATTGACTGGAAAAAGGTTGAGAAACACTGATCTGGACTCACGTTTTCAGTGTCCCTGATGTCATGAGCTCGGTCACCAAGACAATGCACTTCTTCCCCTTCAGGCAGGATTCCCAGAAGTCGTAAAACCGCACAATGTTTGGATGTTGCAAACCTTTCAGCATTTCTGCCTCCTCTTTAAATCTCTGCCTCTCAACCTTTGTTAATTTACGGTCCTGCAGAAAGTAACAGAAGATGAGTCATTGCAATGTACTCAGTACCCTATATTTCAGAAGCACTCTGTCAAAAAAATCATACATATAAAATCCATGATGGGTTGTGTAGCCAAAATATAGTAACTTTAAGAGGACTGATCAAAGGAATCACCACTGAAAGAAGTATTTTGCACTCTTAAAGTGGAGTTCCAGTCCCCCTAAAAATTTTTTTATAAAAGCAGAGCCACAATGAGATTACAAATATCATTCAGAATTGGAATAATTCAATATTAAAATCATTGTAATTACTTTGAAAATCATTCATATTTACCAGGATCTGTGAAGCAGGCAGTTGCCATGATGGCTGTGGGCATCTGAAGCCCGCAGGTCTATTTCATGAATTTGTGCTGCGGGCTATCCCAGCATGCAACACTCGTTCTCGCGCATGCGCAGTACAGACAATGCTAGGTGCGACGTGTGCAGTACAGGTTGCAATAGCAATGGTGGGGACGGATGAAGTTCCCCTGCCCCCTTCAGACAACCTGTACAGCACTGCAAGGAAGTGCTCGTGAGCACAGGAAACCAAAGGACTCCTGGGATACAGGAAACATTCCAGGAGACCTTGCAAATCGCCTTTCTACATCATTGCCTAGGCAGTTGGGACCGGAACTGCAGGCTCGCAGAAGATAAAAAGTTATGTATACAAAAATAAATAATTTCACAAATTCTTTTCAGAAGGACTATCTAGTAAGGTAAATTAGTAAAAATGGGTGGAACTCCGCTTTAAGTGGTAATTTGTGATAGTTTATAATTTCCACATCTGTCAGTAACTGGGTGCATACTAGTACTCCACTGGCAACAGAAAAGACACAAAGCAACAAAATCATAAGGGAAACAAGAGATGTATGACAGCAATATAGTGTTACTACGGAGAGAAGCAGGTCTCCCAAATCCCAAGTTTCCCTATTGGTCCACAAGTATGATATGGGAAGAGAAAGCATTAGAGTTCAAAAATTAAAGTCAAGAGTTGTTTAAAATGAGTATGGGATTTCAGGTGCCTACTTTACAGTGATATTAGCAGTTAAACAGGTCGAAGGCAACAACAAGTACTTTTTGTGCACTTTGGAAAAATGTAGTGCAATGCTGAGTTGAAAATCCAGTAGGAGCCATTTTCAAAATGTTCACCTTTTTTTAAAAGGACCCCAATACTATCCTTTTTCACTTCTATTATGCTAGCTATTCTCAAAATAAAACAACTATTTTCAAACGTTTTACCCCAGAGACAATCTTGAAATACATATTTCAGGTCTCAGTGAACCCCTGATAAAAAAAAATATATATATATATATATACCTATAGTTTGCCGTGCATGTGACTACTAAATGGTAGAATATTTTATATATAAAAATAAATAACACAAGCCTAGCATATTTGACACCCAGATAACAGATAATTTATTACACCTACCTGTTCATAATATTTAGTGATAACCTTGCAATTAAATAAAATAACAGAAAAGAAATGCAGACAGTAAAAATCGGACTGTCCCATGTTAGTAGTGCACGTACAAATGTCCCCTTTAATTGATGGTCAATGTACGTAGCTAACAGATCAATTCATCAGTGCCCACTGCTCAATAAACCCTTAGCAACCAAAGGCTGCTATAAATTAGCAATCATACTATAGCAAATACTAGGCAACAACATGCATATATTTTGTGTTTCAACATTTTTATTGGCTTTATAAGAACAGTATTAGACATGAGAGTAAGTACATTCATATCCCAAGACCACCAAGCACCACATATTAAATATACATCCATATAGAAATCAAATTGAACTCTTAATATTCATTTCTGCTCTATTTGTTCTTAAACATAAAAAGTCAACGTAAAAAAAAACCCAAATGGGGAATATGCAACTTATATTTCGCAGCATCATCAACTTCCCTCAGTCCAGATCTCTATTTCTTCTTATAGCTCTCTGTTAGGCCAAATGAAGGGAGAGAGTGATGCCAAAGGAACTAGTTTACAGTGTAAGTTAAACTGGCAAAGCAATCAGGATAAGCCAGTGAGGCAAGAACAGCAAAGCAAAGAATTAAAAAAAAAAAAAAAAAGACAGGGAAAAGAAAAAAGGATGGATGAAGACTTCATGGCATATCTAGGGAGGTGAAATATATTGGTTTCATGAATCCCATATCACTTCAACCTTATGTAGTACTACCCCCTTAAGGGGTGCTTAGTAATTTTTGGGTTCCCTGTCAACGTGGACCTCTTGTTTAAAGCCCAACCTCTGCTGACACCACCGTGTTCTGGTGACCCAGATAAATCACACATGTAAAATGGACTCACACACACACACAGTAGTATTAACCAAAATTAAGTTTATATTGGATTTGGAGGTAACAGAGTCAAGAATAACAAAATTAACACTGGTATTGGCAAGTCTGATAACTCTTGGCAACTGTGAGAAAAAGGAACAGTCACAATAAGACAACGTATCTGTTAGGACTGCTTTCAGAAATAATCCACTGCCTCCAGTCTGAGAGGACTGTTGAATCCCCAGTAAGCAGGAATGACTATCAATAACAGATAAACTCACTGTGGGTCCTCAGAACTAGATAACAATGATTAAATGTGAAAAAAGGGATAACAATGATTAAATGTGAAAAAAGGGAATTTTCAATTATAAAATTGTTAGTGTCCCCTTTAATAGCACAATAATGTTTTAAACTTGTTGGGGCCCAATTGATGTGAAGTTGCATCAAAGGGTGGATGGTAGCTCCTTAGGATGGTCACATCAAAGATAGTGAAGGAAAAGAAGATTTAACACTTCCCTGACTGATGGTAAAGAATAAGTGCAAAGTTCCCTCTAAGAGCTCCAACCATAAACGGAGCTTGAGGTAGTAAATAGCAACAATTGACAAACATCTATGGGCAAAAACAACTCCCTCTGAATGTCAAAGGCAAACGATGACCAGTAAGTAGAAGGAATCCTGCTCTGCAGAGAGGGAAATGGACATGTTGATTTAGTTGGCACTGCTGTATCTTGGTCTGTAACTGTAAGTCCCGCGGTCAGCTTGAACGATAACTGTACTGCAGATATATTCTAACAATGGTGCTGGTATAACTAGGCCACAAACTGGGGCAACTGTATATGATGTTCACAACTATGTGCAAGCAGATAACTGAGGTCACAAACTATCAATGTTCACTTTGCTAATGGATACATGGGTTTCTTTCCCAATGTGGTTTGGTGGATTTCCGCGATCCGTCTTTCCCAAAGGATAAGGACAGTCCACGGGCCCTCTGGTTCAGACTTTGTGTTCTGCTCTGCCTCCTACTGTAAGAGTGGCCTGCTTGGCAGCATAACAGGCCGAGCGGTCAGTAAGTTTTCTGCTCTCTCCAATTCAGGCTCCGCAGACTAGTTCAGCACTTCAGCCGTGAGCACAGCACACCTTTCTCCTTCAATCTCCCTCCGCACTGTCCCGGCCAATTTCCTGGGCTTTGTTATTTATGTGCCCCCCCGCCCACACGCCATCCCTCCAGGGAAGTGTAGTCCCAGACACTGTTTATCAGCCAAGTCCTGCTATTCAGAAATGCAAGTTCCAGAGGGCTGTTCTATCAATGAGAGTAACCCTGCACAACAGGCCACCACCATCTAATGTCCACTTTCGTGTATTGCAAGTATTTCAATGAGTTACACTTCGTTTGGAACTGTATTATGCTTGCTAATCTGCTAATCTGTCACTAACCATAATCCAGTTAAAAGATAAGTTCATCTTTCGTAACATGTTACACCTATATTCAGGGTGCAACATGTTATGATCTGATTGGCAGCCGCTTCCCCCCCGATCCCAGCTTCGACAGCTAGCTGTCAAATTAAAAAAAAAAAAAAAAAACAAAAAACCAAAACCAAAACAAAACAAAAAACATGACCATGGTGGCCACCCAGCCACGTTGCTCATTGACAGCATGAATGAGAGACTACAAGTTGACAGATCTGCAGGAGACCTGCATGGCACCAGCAATCTGTTGATTGCTGGTGCAATGCTTTACAGACTCCTGCAGACAAAAATAATAAAATGTAATTTTTTTTTTTACCTGCAAAAAATGTGCATTTATTATTTTTTACTAAAAGGTGCACTTATCCTATAAGTTTGTTCTTAACTCCAGAAGGATGGCTGAATTATGCCAACATCTCGTTATTGCAATTCTGGCAGCTAGAAATATGTAAGAATACAATTTACCCATTTCTTTAGGTACACCGGTGAACCCACTACAAAATGATGCATCTTCTGGGTTTTTAAGAGTCACTATATATTATTCTTCTTACAGGTACTTATATAGCGCTGTCAATTTATGCAGCGCTTTACATACACTATATTGCCAAAAGTCATCCAACATTACAAATGTGCTTCTGGAAGAATGGTCAGACATTCCCGTAGACACACTGCTAATCCTTGTGGAGCCTTCCCAGAAGAGTTGAAGCTGGTATAGCTGCAAAGGGTGGGCCAACTCAATATTGAACCCTACGGACTAAGACTGGGATGCCATTAAAGTTCATGTGTGTGTAAAGGCAGGCCGACCAATACTTTTGGCAATATAGTGTATATATTGTACATTCACATCAGTTCTCAACCCTCAAGGAGCATACAATCTAATGTCCCTAACTCCCATTCATACATACTATGGCCAATTTAGACAGCAGCCAATTAACCTACCAGCATGTCTTTGGATAAGTGTAATCACTTACGTTCAGTACCTCTGGATGTAGCCATCATGTATGATACATGATTTCTTCCTACGCATATACCATAGTGATATGGTCTTTTATACTTGCTAACTAAGTATAGGATCTTTAATTGGATCATATGATTCATGAGGACTATAGCTGGCTTTTAGAAATGAGCAGTTGATGAGAAAAGAAAAAGCATATAATTACACTTTTCAATATCCAAAAGGCATATCTCTTCTGTTCACAACCACCAATGAGGTACATGCTTCTCCTTTTTCTCCTTGAAAGTGTACAATTAATTACCTATTGTTTCACCATTCCCCTCCTACCATTATATAGTAGCAAAAAAGTTTAACAAAAATGGGTTCTTTTAATTTTGTAAAACGAAGT